CCGTGGAAGTGGTGGCCCTGGCATCCTGCCTTGCTGCCTGTAAGATAAAGGACCTGTTCGTGAGCGGGTCGGCTGGTGTTTTGAATACCCAGGGAGGAGCCAGGGCACGCAGGAAAGGAACCAGAGCGCGTATCTTCTGACACAGAGGAGTAATCCAACGCCTGCTTTGCATCTCGGATCAGCAGCTTGTTTCCCCGCAGGTCTCTGCAGCCTCTTGCTAAGATGGAGAGCTAGTGCCACCTTGTGCACAGCAGCAGGCATGCCTCCCACCCGAGGGAAAGCCGTGCGAGGGCTGCCTGCCTCCTCCCCAGCAGCCTCTCACACTCTGCAGAGGGTTCGTTATGCACCAGGAGGCAGAAGTGATGGGGAACAGGCTGGCTGCAGGATGCCTGGTGGCTTCTCTGGAAGGCCGAGAGGGTTTCGGAGCTGAGTCGGAGTGGCAAAGCCAGTGGGGGACAGGGACGATGGAGTAAAAAGATGATGGTGAAAGAATCTGGTAGAACATCACTTCTGGTTGCTTCTGTAAGCGCCAGAGCAGAAGTGGCTCTTGCCGTGGAGAAAGTGGGGCCAAAGCAGCGGAAGGAGGCGGAATTGTGTCTTCAGTTCAGAATGAAATTTAATTCAAGCCACAGTCTTGAAACCAAATTCGTAGCTCAGCGCCTGCGTAAGTCCAAGATACTGAATCATTCATCAGCGGTTAAGTGACAGAAACACCACCTGGGAGACCAAAACCCCGGGCAGGTTATCAACACCAGCACTGCCTGCTGCAGCCCTCTCCTCTCTGATTCCAGTTCCTGGCACGGGCTGGGATGTCCCTGAAGGAGAAGTGGCAGTGGTGCCATCCTGCGGTCACCTGGGCCTTTGCAAGAGGGAGAGTGGCTTTGTCCCATTATTGTTTTCTCTGCTTCTGCAGGAACTGGTTTTATCTTGGTTCTCCCTTTGTAATAAAGGTGATGAAAGTTTAAACAGGTATTACCTGCTTAAGCTGGGCAGCAGCTGACGATGGGGTTACTTAGAGGGTTATGAGAGCAGCCTGTGAAAATGATCCCTGTGCTCTCGTAGTCCTGTAGCCACTCTGAAGACGTGGGGAAGCTACTCTGAAATCCAGGCAGGCTCTGCAGTGAGGGAGGGCTGTCTTGCTAAGGGTCCCCCTTCTCGGCTGGTGTCAAAACTCTGGCAGCCCAGGCTGGGAGAGCTGCGCTACAGGTGAGGTGAATTGTCCTGATCGCCTAAAACACCTCCTCTTCCCTCTCTGGCACGTAGGGCAGAGGCTAGGATCCTCGAGTGAGTACTTTAAACCATTCTCTGCCAGGCTCTGCAAGTCCTCATGGCATGTCCTTTTCAGGGGGATGAGAAAGCTGTAGATACAGCTGTATTATATAATCCTACACCCATCAGATTATCGCTCTTTTCCTCTGTTTCTGCAAGCATACCCAGGAAGGTGTGCAGTTCGTCAAAAGGGAGCTATTAAGAGGTAAAAGGAAGTAGCAGTCGCTCTGGGATAGGGGTGTTATAATTTAGCAATGCTGTCACTTGGGTTTGAGCTGACTTGGGACAAATCATGTGAGGAAGTTATCCCAAACAGGATTGTTTCCATACAATTGAGGACGGTACATCCCATTTCTATCTTTCTGGAAAAAAAATGACACCTTGAATGTGATCACTTCTATGGGGTTGCCTCAGCCTTGTTGTTAGGACAAGCCTGGGATTTTATAGACACTGTGGTCTGTCATTGCCGCTCAAGCAGTGGTACCTTTCCAGGTCTCTGGTGACACAAGTGAACCCTTTGGGCTTGGGAAAAGACATGAAAATGGTTGAGGGAAATAGCTGTGTGACGCTACTTTCTCCTTGTGGCACCTTCTGTGTATGGCTGGAGGGATCAGTGCTGCCTTGGGACCCCTGCTAGGTGCTTCTCCAGTATCTTCCTTAAGCAGGAATTTTTCCTCCTTTCCGGGTTGTTCTAGTGCCTCTCTATCGTTTCCACCAGAAAGCTCTTTTCCTAATACCTGAATCATTCCTGCTGCAGGTCGGGCCTGTTCCTACCTATACTGCTATGGAAATTGGTGATTCCTTCCCCTTACAGCAGCCTATTACATACTTGGCTGTTATCCTCTTTCCCCTAACCTCTTTCTTTCTCAGGTTTACCCACCGATATTATCAAACCTTCCCTCGAGATCAGGCCTCTGCCCAGTTTTGTTTCTCCTTATCCTATTTGCAAGCAGTCCCTGTATTTCTCAATGTAGCTCCAACCTGAGGCCTCCCAGGCACACGCTGTAGGATGACAGGACAGCTCCATCTGCCGTGTGGTGATTTGAGAGCAAAGATATGTATTTTTTTAACCTGTCCTTAAAAACTCATGTCGGGACTTGTACGGGATGAGGCAGTCATGTGCAAAGCCATTCCCTGAGCGGTTGTCATATGAATAAGGAGTGGAGACTGGTGCTTTGTGTACATCTACAGGGAAGGAGTGCTTAGGGGGTTGAAGGTACATCTTCCTTCTCACCCCGACTTGGACCCAGATGTGCTTTCACCTGTGGAGGGGAAACCGTAGTTTTCCTGAGTGTGGGGGAACTGTACAGGGGGAAGTAAGATGGTAATTTGTCCTCTGTGGTGACTCCATCATGGAATGGCCTGATCCAGACCCTCTGTTGCAGAGACCAGCTCATATTCCCCAAGGCTTTTCCATCAGGAAACTGGATTTCGCTAAAGCTGTGACTGGCACAGGGGAACATCTGATCGTGGATAAATCCTCCTTCTGACTGAAAAGGAGGTGGTGCCCAGGACCGGAGATGATCGGTGCTGTCCTTGCTGTGTGACTAATGGTGTTGCTCTGGGGGCTTTTTTTATCTAACTGGCCTCCAGGATGGGTGACCTGAGGGAGGTGCCCCCAGCTGAACCCTGAGCACAGCAAGCCTCTGAGCCAGCCAGGAATCGCTGTAGCATCACTGGCAACCAAGGCTAAGGAGCTGGCTTTGACACAGTGGTGGGACTGCGTCCGTGAGAACACAAGCAACCCACCTCTGAGCAAAAAACACGATGGAGGAGGCAGGGTGAGGGCAGTTTTATGGATGTACGCAGGCCTCTCTGCAATAACCCTCCGCTCCGAGGCGATGGAGCCTTGACGTACCTAAACAAATAGGGGTCAGTATATGAGCAGAAAACAGGCACAGTGAGACCATGGCCGGCCCCAGCACCAGCCTTTCTTGCTTTTCCATCTGCCAGCCGTAGCTGGTCTGACTCTTGCTGGCTCATGGTCTTGTCTCCCTTGATTTCAGGCTGGCGCGAAAGGCTCGTTGCGGTGCGGCGGCCCCAGAGCCCGTCGCCGTGCTTGGTGGGGTGTGTGAGAACCAGCCCCCCCCTTGGCCGTGCTGCAGCGGGGAGCACGTTGGGGGCAGTTCTGCAGATCCCCCCCCCCTCCAGCTGCAGCCCTGGGGCTGGGGGCTGCTATCGCCAGGCGTGCTGGAGCAATACATATGGATTCACTGGAGGGGGCTTTGTGTGGGGGAAGTGAGTTACATCTAAGTGATCTACCCTCCTACATCCCCTCTTGGCTGGGAAGAAGGGGGCACATAGGATGCCTGAGGGAGGAGAGAACATCTGAGAATGGAGGCAGTCCTGTTTGCTGAGGGGTCTGTGCGACTCCCTCCCCTGCAAGCCTGGAGAGGGATCTGCTCCAGGATGAGCATCTGGCTTGCGCCGTCTTCGCACGCTCGATCTTGACTCTCAATCCCCGTCGTGCCCCAGGCTGGGGACCAGGCCCAGTCCGGTCCATCGGGCCCCGCGCAGCCCCCCAGTTACCTGCGTGCCTTCAGAGCTGTCCTTGGCCTCTTGGTGGCCCCAGGAGGGAGCCAGCAGCTTCCCTGCTGCACTGCAGATTATCTTGGAGCGGCTCGCTCCCTTCTGTCTCTTAATGCCAGCTTTAGGTTTACTGGGGTCTGGCACTCTGCACTTGGCTTCTTATCCCTCACTACCTGCTTTGCAAAAACCAAGGACTTGTTCAAGAGCAGAACTGTCCCGTGGCTGGAAATCTGCCCCCGCAGGCTTGCGTGGGAGAGATCAGGGTGGTACGGGTGTCCCTTTCCCCAGCAGTGAATCCAGTCACCGCGTAGCCCCTGACTTATGGTGGGGGCACATGAGGTCAAAGTGTGTCCTGCGACCTTGCAGCGCTTGATGGACGTGGGAGCAAGGAGGTCTCCGACACCTTGGTGCTTGTGCTGATCTACTGGGAAAAAGGGAGGGGAAAAATCCAGCTTCTCTTAAGGATCTCTGTGCCTCTAGAGCCCTCCTGATGAAGCTGGGCCCTCCTGCACCTCGCGGCCTCTTGCCCTGTGAGCTTCTGCAGTTACACGGTACCTGGCCTTGCTGGAGCAACGCTCAGGATCAGGTCCACAGGAGGGGAATGGGTTGCTGCACCGCTCGATGTAGCCGTATGGGCATCGCGTGCTTCCTCACTCCTGCCTCTGGCCGGCCTCGGAGGCATGACCCGTTCTCAACTGCTTGGTTGTGCGACGCCTTTGCTGCAGAACAGCCTCGAGAGCCGGGGCAGCTACCTTCCTCAACACCACGCTGCCGTCCTCCGAGGCTCGCGTCCTCTGCTTCTTCCCTTTCCTTGTCCCTCTTCCCCCAGGAGCCCTACCTAAAAGTGCCAGCTTTTCACAGCCGAGCATGAAATCAAGCAATCCCACAAAGTACAGTAAGGTTTTTTCTTTTCCCCCTCTCCTAAACAAGGAAAGTGCTCTGCTACTGCCATCTCCGTTGCAGGCAAGGTCGTGTGTCCCACGGCAAACACTGCAGGGATGGAGGACGGAGGTGTCTATGGACTCGGTTCCTTGGACAGGCGCAATGCTGATAAAAGTGGAGCAGAGATTTGTGTGTATGCGGCTGAATCCAGCTCTATGGCTTTTTGCAGCCAAATAATTAAATCTTCCCTTGCCCGAGCACAGCTCGCAGGAGGCTCAAACTCAGGGCTCGGCGTGTCTTTAGGAAGCTGAAAACACGAGTCTTACAACAGAGGTTTATTGAGGTCTAAAGCCTAACCTAAGAACCAGCGTGGGCTACTGCAGTCTCGCTGGAGACTGCGAAAGGGGCCGTGTCCCACAGGCTGCGGTGACGGAGCCTGACGGGGCTGGAGGTGGCACTGGGGGCGGCTGCAGTGCTGCAGCACCTCGCCTTGCCTGAGCTGGAGGGGTTTTGGAAAAAAAAAAAAAAAAAAAAAAAAAAAAAATAGCAGGCTTATTATTGAGTTCCGTGAATAGCTGAGTTGCAAAGGAGCTCTGAGGGCAGGCAGGACAGGACCGGGGAGCCGTGTTGCAGCTCCGCAGCGCAGCGGGGGCTGCGTGGCCGAGCTCCCGCACAAGGAAGGAGCGGCGCAGGGCTGCGGGGTGGGAACGGCGAAAATAAAAACCAAAACCAAAACTAAAAATAAAAAGCAAGTGAAGAAATAAAGCAAAAAGCACCCCCCTCTTCCCCAAAACCCCTCAAAGGGGTGGTTTTTTTTTTCAGGGAGCTTCCAAACGGCATTGCGGAGCCCAGCGCTCCTTTCAAAGCACCGGGAAAGGAATGGGGGGTCCCTTGTTCTGGGGGGGGGGGGGGTGGGGGGGGTCCCCTCGCTCTGCAACGAGGGGCCGCTTGTCACCCCCCCTCCTCCTTTCCCCCCCGCCCCGCTGCCCGCAGCCACCCCCCCCACCTCCCCCCCCCCCCCAGCTCTGCCCGCATTGTCCTGCCGCTCCTCCTGCCCTTTGTACGCCGGGAGCCCCCGCAAGCCCCGGCGGGACCGGAGCGGGGCCTCCCCCCCCCCCCCCCCCCCCGGTCCCCCCCGTGCCCCCGTTAATGCGAGCAGACAGCTGCCCCGCCAGGCGCTGCCGGCATTGTTACTCCTATTTGTCAAAAGGCCGAGGATGCTCCATAGATCGCTCCGTGGCTGTTGTTAAGTGTAATTAGAGGGTTTATGTCCCCAATTTCCATGAAAATGAAGCTGTGAGGCTCCTCTCTTGGCATTCACCGCGTGCCTTAATTGTATGGACATTAAATCAAGGTCCGCTGTGAACACGCAGAGAGGGGCTCGGGCTGTCCCCGCTCGGAGCAGGGCAGGCGGCGAGCGGGGCTTGCGGGAGAGAGGAGGGGAGGAGGAGGAGGAGGAGGAGGATGGGGGGGGGGGGAAGAGAGAAAGAGAGAGGCTGTCAGTGCAGGGTCCACCCCGCCGGGCCCACCGGCCGCCCTCCCCGCCGCCCCGGGCCCCCCTCCGCCGGGGCGGCCGCGGGGGCGCGGCGGGGCCGGGGGCGGTGGAGGCGGGGAGGGGGAGGGAAGGAGAAGGGGAAGGGGGGGGGGGGGGTTTCCTTTGCGGCCGGGTGCCGCTGCCATCCCCAACCCCCCCCCCCTCCACCCTCCCCCAAGCCTCCTCGCCCTACTGGGGTCAGCATCCCACCCACCCCCCCCCCCGCCTTTCCCCAATCCCCCCCCCCCGCCCCCGACTCGGCTGCATCGCACCCGGCCAGATGCTGAGCGCCGGGGGTAGAGGGACGGACAGACGGACATATCCCGAGCTCCGGCCCTACTAGCGCTAAAAATACGGCTGGTAGTAATGCTAATAATTCTAAATAATAATAATAATAATAATAATAATAATAATAATAATAATAATAATAATAATAATAATTCTAAATAATAATAATTCTAAATAATAATAATAATAATAATAATAATAATAATAATAATAATAATAATAATAATAATAATAAAAGCGGATAGGGCCGAGGACAGCTCGCAACAAACCTCCGGTTGCCGGTGCCCGGCGACGCGTCCCGCGGCAAAGCGCCCGGAGATGCTGCGCAGCCCCCCCGTGGGACCGCGGCCGTGGGAGTGGGTCCCCCCCGCCGGGCCGCCGCCGTCCGTGACTGCGGAGGGACCTTGGGGGACCCCCCCCCCGTTCCCTCCCCGGAGCAAAATGAAAATCCCGCTCGTGTGGTTCTCTCTTTGCTCGCAAGGCAAAGGAGCCGGTTTCTCTCTCCGCTCGAAGGGAAACCGGCGGAGGTTAAAACGCGCGTTTCCCAGCTCTCCGCTCCGCCGCGGTTCGGCACAATAATCGCTCCACTTTAAAAAAAAAAAAAAAAAAAAAAGAGAAAAAATGCGAGAAATAAAAAAATAAAAATTGAGAGGGATTGAAAAGGGGTAAAGCAATTAAACCGGTTTCGTTGATCGCCGTCGGATTTAGAGGCGCCTTATGAATTTAGGACGATTTCTCTCTCTAGATACCGCATCTGAAAAATCCTCACCCCCTCCCCTTCCTCCCCTTCCTTTTTGTAAGGAGAAAAAAAAAAAAAAAAAAAGAAAAAAGAAAAAAAAAATCACAAGCCCATTAAGGTCGCTTGCACAAGGGGAGAAAAAAATCCTGATGCTCTTCCAAGTTAGCAATAGAGCTGGGTCGCTCTCCCGCCATTGTCGCCCAAACCCCGTAATTACGGCTCGGCAAGACGAGCTTTTAGCAGATTTACCCACTCCGGGGGAAGCAGCGCCCGGCTCCGGCGGCGCAAACTCCGCTGCCGCGCTCAGATCCAGTGCAAACGCCCTCCCGTGGCTCGGGACGCTTGTTCTGTGTAGGCAAGCTGGAGATGAATAAGAAAGGCGCCTAGTCTCTCATTATCTTTGAATTTCAGACTTTTTATCCTCTCTTTTTTTTTTTTTTTTTTTCCTTTTCTCTCTTTCTTTCTCTCTCTTTTTTTTTTTTTTTTTTTTTTTTTCCTCCTCTCTCCTCCTGCCCTGGAACAATGCAGAAGGACCTCATCAGAGTGAAAACCAGGCTCCCGCTAGGCTTTAAAAGCAAGATGAACTTGGTGCACCACCCATCTTTCTCTTCTCTTCTCCAAAGCTCTTTAAAGGGGTTATGAGGCGTCTCTCTCAATTTATCCCTTTTCTCTTGATCTTCCTAGCAGAGGGGTTTGGGGTCTAGTCCTGGCTGTTTCAGCTGATCTCATCCAGTCTAAGGGATTAGAGCTTCTTCTCCGCATCCCGGCTCTCAGCACATCTGCTGATTGGGTTCAGCACAAGAGGATTACATTGGGACCCAATGACGTCACCGCTAGGACATAAGTTCTCCTCCATTAACCAAATCCTCATCAGCAAGATGTCCTTGAAACTGGAGGAGTAACATTCAGGACTCCATCGCCAGCCCGTCCCCACCTTCCTCCCGGGCGGGCTGCTGGGGCTTTTGGAAAAAATATTGTTTAAGCTTTGAGCACTTGCAGCTGCATCAATAATGTTCTGCTACAGGCTGGAGGATCGTGGCGTTATAGGAGAGCGCGTACCCTATAAATAGGGTTCTGCACCTAAACTGTTAATCAGGAGCTTTATATATTCTGTTGCTTTTTCTTTTTTTTTTTTTTTTTTTTCTCTTTTTTTTTTTTTTTTGGTTAGGAAGGGAGGGGGTGGAGGGACAGAGGGGGAGGGGAAAGCTGCATCCTACAGTTATATTTCCAAGCTCAAAAAGACATCAGCAATAATTTTCTTTAAAGCTGACATGGATGTAATTTTAAAACGTGTTTTCGTTCTTTTTTTTTTTTTTTTTTTTTTTTTTTTAAGAAATGTGTAGGATTTCACCCCCGTTCTCTCTGAGAAGAGACAATGTGTCCTGAGTTATATAAAGTAAGAGGTTCCCTTTAAATATACAATGCGAATTTTATATCTTGGGGTTTAATGCTAGATTTTTCTTAATATTACATGAGCACAGACTCACAGGAGTGAGGACCTGAAAGGAAATGGCTTTGACTTCCAAGTGACAAACCAAGAGAGTATTTTTTTTTTTTTTTTTTTTTTTTCTTTTTAAGACTTTCACCCAGGAAAACACAGAAAGCACCTATAGATTTGCTGCCCTCAACCTGCTGTAACCTACGCCGTGGCATCCAGGCGGCTCTCCCCGCCGCGCCGTCCCTCTCGGCCACCCTGCGCTCGCAGTTTCGCTGGTGTCTCACTCCGTGCTCCCACCACATCCATTTTGCGAGCTGGAGAGCAGTCAGACAGGGGTTTGCTGCAGCTCTTGTTGGTTAAACTTACAGACCTCATCACGGGGCGGCTGTTACAATGGAAATGGGCACCAGGATTTATTTTATTTATCTAGGGTCGCCGAATTTCATCTCTGGGGAGAGAAAACGAGTTTAACAACAAGCAGGCTCCATCCAGCTAGGAGAGGTCTTGCTTAGAAGCCTTGCGTGTGTTTCATTTTTTGGTAAGCAAGCCGCTTCTTCACTGCCAATTATCCATCCTTCCCCCTCCAGTCACACACACCGCCCCAAAAAATATGTGTATACACACATGCTCACACTTACACTGATTTTTGTGATGGGTGGTGCAGGTCTGTGGGTTTTTACACACCCTTATTCCCCACCTAGAGTAACTTCTATGGCCAGCAGTGCCATGCATATTCGCTAGAATAGCTTTCAGGCGAGGATTTATTTGCCCACGCACTGTGGTATTTTCCTTCTTCTTAGGAAGGGGATAAGGTGGGGGGAGGCAGGCTACGATTGTTTTGATGGAAGGCATCTTGCTCCAGCTCTGGAAATCTCTCCCTGCCCCAGCAGTGTGAGCATTTCCAGGACAGCTGGGTTCTAACCGCTGGAAGAGAGATCTATTCCCTTCCCCACTATATCAAAACAATTATTTTGAGGACGGCGTCTCCCTTTCTGCGAGCCGTGCCATGCCAGACCAGGCTCCGAGGGGGGAAACTGCCTCCAAATAGCAGCTCATAAAAAACTGGTGGGCCATGTTTGGCTACCGATGAATGAGCAGGAATACTCTGCAGCGAGGTGAAATATCACCTTCCAAGCTCTAGAGCCATATTTAAAAGGCAGCCACAGCACTGTGAGCCTCTGTCCCTATTTGTGTGCGTTTTTCTCTTCCTCTTTTATAATGCTGCAGCTCATGACACAAGCACCAAACGGGGCAAAATCAGCATTTGACGTGATGCAACGAAGGGATATTTCTCTTCGCTTTTTGTCTTCCGCAACTTTTTTTTTTTTTTTTTTTAAATAAAAAATAATAATCTGCTTATTTAGAGCCTATTCCATATTGACCTATTTACTCCGACAGACCGAGGCTCTCAATCTTTTTATCGATTTAAAAGAAAACAACCTCAACAAATTAACACGCAGGAAACCGCTCTTCTTAGCCCGAGGGTTTCCCGTTCGCCCGGGGCCCAGCTCCGGGGGATGCTCAGCCCCGGGGCTGCTCCGGCCCAGGCCGGGGGTGCTGCGGGGGTGCCCGGGGGGGGGGGTTGGGGGTCCCCCCCGGGCCCGGCGCCGGTACCGGCCCCGGCTTCGCTGTCCATGGTATTGAAGGAGCGGAGCCGGCAGCAGCGCTGGGGGCTCAATGCTGGGGGGGGTATGTGTGTGTGTGTGTGTTCGTTTCTCCCCAAAAAGCAGAAGGTGTTTTCCACCATACCCCCTTCCAGAGAAGGCTTTACTCAGCTGAAGGGCCCTGCGGGGGGGAGGCCGGTCTGTCTGTCTCTCCGTCTCTCTGTCTATCAGCCGTGCGGGCAGAGCACGCTCCTTCACCTGCCTCTTTCCTCCCCGCCAATCCCCCCCCCCCCCCCACACACACACACCCCTCCGAAAACCCACGGGTTTGATTTTCTTGCCCCCTCCTTCCCCGGGACGGAGCGATGGGGTGGTTTTGAGCCTCCTGTCACTGCGGAGCCCCGTGCCGGTGCCGTAGCGATGTCATCTGGCGGTGGGGGGAGCGTTGCTGCTCAGCGGGCTGGCGGCAGGGTTTTATTTCTTCTTTAAAACAAACCCCTCCAACAGTTCAGCCCCTATAAAGTTTATAATTAAATACAACCCCCCGCTCCAGCTCATCCCCCTCCCTGCTCCCGCGGCCCTGCAGCCTCTTCCTGAGTTGCAGGCTTTAAAAGCAGGCTGAGGTCTGGCTGCTATTTCATTAACACTTCCAGTGAGACATTTTGTCTTAAGCACGGCCCTTCCTTAAGCTCTAATGCAGCATTGCTACATCCCGGAAGAAAATAGTCAGATGATTTGCAAAGGGCCATTTTTTTTTTTTTTTTCTTTTTCATTTCTTTCTTCTTCTCCCCCTCTTTCGCTCTCTGCCTTTTTAAACCTACCACCTACTGTTCCCTGAACAAAGAAATCCCAGAGACAAGCAACATGCCTCCACTTTCCTTCCATTTCCAAACCCCGACTCCGCCATGCATAGATGACCGCATTAGAAAAATACACAAGAGCGAACCCGAAATCAACTGCGGCACAACAAACCGTAAGAAAACGTACGCTCAGCCCTGTCCCGGGCAACGTGACACGCACGTACAGACACACACACCCATGCACACACACTGCGGAGTGCTCGCAAAACACCCCCAAAATTTCATCACCCTCCTCATTTCTGCTGAATAAGTCAAGAACAAAACAGCCTTTGTCTGGTTGTTTGCCACCGGGATGCGGCCCAGGTACCGGAGCGGCGCTGGGCGGCCGGTGCCCTGTCGCCATCCCGAGCATCGCCTCAGAGCTGACCCGCAGCCTGAAGGAGAAAGCAAAATCTCTTTAAAATGAAGCCCAGATCTCTTTCAAACCTCAGAGAAAGGTTTTGCCGATTCTAGGCCTCTGGTTTCTGCCCCAGAAATCTCGCTGCGGAAGAAAGAGATCAACAGAGTTTGGTCCCTGCTATCATTTCAGGCAATCTTCTGCATTTTTTTTTTCTTTTTCTTAGAAAGCAATTCATTTTCTTAGAAAGTAATTACACTTACAAGAGGTTTGGGAATCAGATTTTTCTATCAAGTCTCCTCTCCCTCTTTTTCTCTGTCTCCTTTTGGTCTTCTTGGCTGCTGCAGGGCTTTTTTTTTTTTTTTCTTTCAGATCTGTAATAAAAAAAAATAAATAAACCCCCTCCCTCCCCTCTTCCCCTAGAAATATACAATTTGCTGATTTGCAAAGCCTCTTCCTATGTGGAGGAAAGCTGCCTGCTCTCCCCACGACTCGCTTTCCTGGCCTCCCAGCTCCTTGAGAAAGGAGGAGGGCCTTGTGCATTACAATTCCATTCAATCTCATTCATTCTTGCCTCTTTCTAACGGTCTTTGGACAGCAAATCCACACCAACGGGGGGTCCGAGCCCCCTCCTCACGCCCCCCCCCCCAGCCTTAAACACACACAATAGCCGTCAGCTAACAGCACAGCAGCAACTTTGAAACATTCAGGCTTCTGAAGTGAAGAATGCTCGCAGCTCCCCAACCCCCCACCCCCTCCACTTGTTCCTGGGCTTGACATTTAAAAAACATATAATGATCTTAATTTTAAAAAGGGGGGGGGGGAAAAAAAAAAAAAAAAGCCTCACTTGGGTCACACATGGTTTCACAGGGCAGAATTCTGGTGTCAAGAATTTCCTCTGCAGGAGAGGATTGCTCCATCACATAGCTAATTACCTGCCTCCCCTCTCAGTGCTCCATGCTGGAGAAAGGCTTTTTTTTTTGCCTTTTTTTTTTTTTTTTTTTTTTTCCTTCCCCCCCTTTCCCTATGGATGTTTATTTGGTTGTATCAATCAGCAGGACGGTTTCCAGCCTAATTTTTCCCAGTCACCTCGCGAAGGCACTGCCGAGGGCTGGGAGCTGCTGGGGGGGGGGGCAGGGAAAGGGGGGGGGAAAGTTCCTGGTTATTGTGTGCCCGCGGTGCCGCGTGGATGCGGGGCTGGGAGCGGGGCCCGACATCCCCCCCGGCGTGGGGAGAGTGGGGGCTGCCCCGGGGGGAGCTCATCCGTACCCGGGGGTCACCCCCCCAGCCCGGTGATGGGCGGGGGGGGGGGTACGCAGCCCTAAACTGGCACAACTGGGGTGAGGGGTGCATCCCGGCGGGGATGGGGGGACCCTCTCCCCGTTCCTGCGTGGGGAGAGGGGTGTTTCCTACTTCTCGGGTGGGATGTGAGCCACCAGCCACCACCTCCCCCCACCCCTTGAAATGCTGCCCCTCGCTGCCCCCTCCCTGCCAGCCTGGGCTGGGGGGCTCAGGCCCGACCACCTTGTCCCAGTCTCCAGCCTCCCCCGGCTGCTGTGCGAAGCCAGGACCAGCCTCGGACAGGTTTCTTCCCCAATTTCCCCGCGTCACCACCACTTTTTGCTTTGAGGCTTATGTATTTTCACCTCTTTCCATTTTTGAAGTGAAGAAGGTCGCTTTCATTGTCTCTAACCTGCCGCTCGCCCCCTCCTTCCCCAGGGAGCACCCCTGATCTCAGCAATACTCCCCCCCCCCCCCCCCCCCGAGCCCCAGGACGTTGTCCCAGGGTGGGGTTTGCCTGGGAATGGGGAGGGGAGAGGTCCCTGCTCATGAGACCCTGCTGCCGTTCTCACTGAAATCGCAGTATCTTTGGTTAAGGGCTTCAGTGGTGG